AGCATACAAAATCCCATATATTCTTGTTTCTATTTGTGTCATGCCACCATGCGTGCTCATTTCTAAACTCTGGCCATAATAAGGCTTAGTTTCTCCAAGGCACTCTGCTATTTCATTTCAGGACCTTCACACTTTTATCACTCCCAGCCCAAACTATCTAACATCTACCATTCCTCAGACCTTAGTTTATCCATCAACCTCCTCTAAAATAGTTTTCCTGAACCCTCAAATCAAGGGAGGTCCTTGTTAAATAATGAAAGGAATGCCTACCCAACTTTGAATACACTCAAACTAAAGTGTTTTAATAAAAAATTACCAAACAACTATAAAATTCAAAGATTATAACCAAGGTAAAAACCAATATTTTTCAATGTATAAGTCATATATATTTGATTTGGTACTTTATTTTAACTTAGGCCCACTTTATAGGCATTTGACATCTATTTGCTTTGGAATTTTCTTAATATGAAGTATAAAAATCAAGATTCTAGTAAGAGGCTTTGTCATTCATAGTCAAACTAGAACTATTATTTATTATGAGCAACCAGTACAACTATTTTCTCACAATTATTTATCATTTCAGATATACATACCCTAAGTTTCTTAGAGACTTATAAGTTTAAAAAAAAAAAAAACACACGTTTTGTTGACCCTGAAGTTTAGCTACCCAGTATTCTTTCCAAAGTGTGATAAGCTCCACTGAGTCTTTTAATAACAATGAAAACAATAACAAAAACACATAAGATATTAGAACATATCCCATAAAAAATGTCTGAAACTTTAGAAGACATGTCTATAGCACCATCTAAATAGTAATTTAGAGAAGTTTGCTTTTTAAATCTCTACATCTGAGTATTTTTCTACTCTTTATTGACACAGATACATACTCAACGTGGCCACATCACCATAATGTTAAGTCTTTACATTTAAAATTCTACAAAGTATTTATATGAATCTGTGCTTCCTAGATTAGTAGGGTTTTTAGTACATCTAAGAATTAATTAATTCAACTATTTTCATTCATATCTCTATCTTTGCATATTAGTTTTCAACTCTGTGGTTCTATATGGTTCATATATATGTGCTTCTTGGTTCTATATACATTCAATCTTCATTTCCTGTTTTTAAAAATCTATTTAAAAGCCTCATTATGAAACATTAAAATAATGGAGGGATCATAGGAATATATTTCAATATTTAAGAGGAAAACCCACTAAAAATAAAAACAATGAAGTAATGTGAAACATGCTACAAAATACAAGGTAAACATGTGGAAATATTTATTGGGGCACAGGAGGAAAAGGATGCTCTAAAAAATGCTGTTTCACAAGGTGTTACTGCTGATATTACACCATCCTTGGATTAACAAAACTAGGGGGTTCCAAACTGTGAGAGAGAACACATACAATCAAACCTGTGTTAACTAAAGGCTGGAGGAGTAGCCTATTCTGACTTACTAAATTTACTTATAAACCTTTTTGTTTTAACAACTGCTATTGAAAACCTTTCTAAAATGTATTGAGGTATGCATCTTGCATTAGTAAAGTACAATATAGTGAACATAATTAAATCTCTCACTGTTGATTATGGTCTGATCAGATATTAAGACCTTGTTGTGAGCATCCATTTTCACTGGAACTTAATGAAAATGTGGACATTGGGATTGTTTGGGTTAGATGTATACAGACTGGCCCTAGGCTATTTATTCATTGGAACTTTTCTTTTTTTCTCTTCTTTTTTACTACACAGCTTAAAATCAATTTTTAAAAGGGAGAAAAGGAGCTTATTTTCCTATAAGTCAAGAGCAGGAAAAATAAACCTGGTTATCTGAGCTCTTACTATATCACTGGAGCTTTTCTAAAGTAATAGGTATTCTTGAAAAATCTGTTCCATTTTCAGCACTATTACAGCAATGAGTGCCCAAGGGCAAAGCTTAGGAAAAGTAAAATCCAATTCCTACGTGAAGAAGAGGAGCACTGAAGAAAGCTGGGCAGTATCTGGGTATTTACTAAATATATCTTCTATACTAAGTATGTTTTATGTACCAAGTACTCTACTAAACACCATGGCTACAGCAAATATTCCTTGCCTGTGCCTCAGTTTCAACTTATGCAAAATTAGGAGACTAAATACAGTGGCTTCTCCACATACAAAAGCTCTCCATACTGTGATTCACTAAGAGCAAAGTGATGTTACTCTACCATTCACTAAGTTGTGTGCGTGCACACGGGCACACACGCACATGTAAGCGGTCAGAAAGCAACTCAGAGAGAAGGAAAAGTATGGAGAAATATTTAACTCTCCAAGAGAAGTTAAAATGCCAAATCTCTAAGAAAATTATATTCTGCAGCTAACTGAGGAATGTTAATTAGTTATTTTACTCCTCTTTTTATTGCTTTGGGCAGAACATTAAATGAGTAACAAATTCATGGCTGCGCTATATGTTAAAATGCTGTGGGGTTAAATATTAAATATCCAAATGAGGAAAGTGAAGAATCCATGAAGGTTTTCTATTTCCTTTCAGTGTTCTCTGAAATCTTCCACTAAATGACGATTGTATGGGCACTAGTGCTAGCATTCCACATTATTGAAATGTGTGATCTTAGTCAAGTCAACAATACATTTCCTTCCATTTCTGTCATCGTCAAGAATGTTACGACAAATGCAACACATTTTGTTTTAAAATAGCCCAGAAGAATGCTATGGATATGCTGCATTTTGTCTCTGGAAAAGCATTTGATCAAGTACTGAACATAATCAAATGAATTCTTAACTCTGAAAATCACATTTTGAGTAATGAAACAAAAGAAACACTGGAAAGATGAGTTAAATTCACAAGATTAAATTTGACTGTGGATCCAAATGAATCCACAGAACAATCTTAACATTGCTGCTGACATCCAGTTTGTATATATCATTCTCCCTGTATGGAATAACTGATTCATTGGTTTCTCTCATTATGTTTCATAAGTATAAATGTAAATACTGGAACTACACTAAAAAAGAAAAATCTACAAGCATGGAGAGGCCTGATTTAAGAACAGTTCCTGAGAAAAAGAACTAAGATCTTTAGCTGGTTTCAAGCTCCACATAAGTCAACACTGTGACAAGACTGCCAAAAAAGCTAACATAATCTTAGCCACTAAAAACAGAAGTGTAATGTCCAAAACAAGGTGTTATTAGAGCTTTACTGTATTCTCTGCGTTCTCTACATTTTGTGCTAGATGCTACAGAGCCAAAATGATGGGTTAAATCCCAAGATCACCTTATTTAAGAGTAATGCTGACAAACGAGAAATTCCAGGAAGAGGAATGACCACTAGAACCTTGACAAGAAACAATTTCTGAAGACTGAGAGAACCAGGACTATTTAACCTGGAAAAGCTAGGTCTTAGGGAAGACGAGGAGATCTAAGAGGACACATTCCAAAGCAGATTTGGTGTTGATACAAATAGTACACAAAATTGGATCAGCACTGGGAATGCTGAGGTAATGCAACTGTGGTTAACCCTGGCTGTGTTAGAAATACCTATGAATAATTTTAAAACTTTCAATGCCCTAGCCCTGCCCACAACCAACTAAACTGAATTTCTGGGTAAGGGCCTGAGCAATGGCAGTTACTGAAAGCTCCCCTGGGATTTCTAATGTGCAGCTCACTTGAGGATGACAAAGGTAAGTAGAATCGGGTGGCTACCTATCCATGTTTGGTGTAGAGGGGATTCCTTATCAGAAATCTGTATGAGGCTTACTTCCCAGATCCTCTTCTGCTCTAGAACCTTTTGTTGATTTTAATTTAATTTTTCTTCTGTGATTCTGGGGAACCTAAGTCTTGGGCATGCTAGGCAAGTACTCTACTATAGAACTGACCTCAGCCCTTTTGTACAATCATGAAAGATTAGCTACTTTTTGCAAATATTTGAGAAGAAATGAAATTTAGATTTCATTTACTCTCCTAAAGGGAAGATTTAAGTTGGACTATAATACTTAGCATACTCTTGAATAAGAGGTTTCAAAGATTAAGTACTATACTTTGTAGAACAGTATAGCATCTTCATATGTAAACCTATAAATTAGTTTCAAAATTTGATAAAATAAATTTAAAACTTGGTAACATTCAAGTTTTCATTTCTTCCATGATAAAATAATTACAATCAAGCAAAAAATATTTTGTAGTTTGAGAACTCTAACACCAGTAGTAGTTTATTCTATGTACATAATAAAATGCTATATTTTTCTGCTTTAAATATCTTCTAAAAACTTTTTATAATAGAATAAACTGAATTTTTAGTAATCAGTTTACAGTTCTCTGTGCTTCCTTTAGTACTGGTTGTACTCTTGCTCTTGATCCTTTTCTCTGACTACTGAATAAAAACATTTCTACAGGTTTCCTAATCTCCTTGGAAAAGATACATCAGTGTGTGTTCAAAAGCCTTCTAACCTTAATATAGGTTAGGCATCAACAGTAGTGGGTTAAACTTGTAAATTTTAGTGACCCCTCCAGATTTTTCCACTTACATGTAACACACCCTCTAAACTTTAAAACTTTCACTTTAGATTATGGTAAAACACCAACCATTTCCTTTTATTTTTATCATCTGTCAGTGCAAAAAACTCCTAATGAATCTGAAGCTTCTTCTGGGCTACTTGAAATCTCTCTCATTAATCTTTGTCGTGTGGCTCATAAATAATGAGAGAGGTATTAAAGATCATCATCTTGTTTACAGACAGACACCACCAAAAGAGCCTCAAACTGGAATAACACAGGGGATCTGACCAGACAGACTGAGAGCATTTCGGGAGCCCTGATGTGGGGACGAAGCACACAATTTTTTTTTTTTTTTAACCACTAAGCTGGTTAACTGCACTCCGATTCAAATAATGATTGCCTTTTCCATATCAAAACACTAGAAAGAATTACGACCTTACAGCCATTTGAGCAGCTGCTGGACAGGCAGATAGCTCCACAGCCAACAGTCACCTTTCCATTTTTCAAGCACATACCTCTCATAGAAATGTTTTCAGTGCGGCAGTCTACAGAGCTGGTTATAACACCGGCACGATGTGACAACAAAATTCATGATGATTTTGCTTTTTCAGCCTGCCCCTTCCTTTTTTAAAAAATTATTTTCTTGACCTTCATCCCCCAAAGAAAACCAAGCCAACAATACTTCACGAAACCTGCCTCAATCTAAGGAATATAACGTTTTCAGTGAAAGCAAACCAGCTTTATAGAACAGCTTTCAGAGAAGCAGGAAGCTGATCTGAGCAGCAGAGAGCAGGGATGGGGCGGAGCAGAAAGGAACTGAGCTGGGGGAAAAGCGAAGCACAGACAGTCCTGGCCGCTTCTAGTTACTTATTGACACTTTTCTCTTAATAGCAGAGATTTATGAACAAGGTGAGCATCCGTCCTGCCATACCTTTTCTTTCTTTTACGAATTTCTGTCAGTTGGTAAACTATCACACAGGGGAAAGTAAGGCCTTACAGCCCCGCCAGAGCCCAGTTGCAGGGAAATGATGTAAGCTTCCCACCTCCCACCAGCCCCCGCTCTGCCAATCCACCTCTACTCTGACCTGTTCATATCCACTCCCTCCCCCAGGGCCACTGTCCTGGGGCTGAGGGGCCCCAGGCTAGCCTAGCTGTGTCCTACTGTGCAGCACAAAGTATTTGCCAGGGAGTAAGAAATATTTTTGTTTTCAGAAAGTCTTCAATGAGAAAGTAAATGCCTTTCTATTTAAAAAAAAAAAAATGCCGAATGTCCAAAAGTTAGTCAGTCCCCAGGACAAATAACACTAACTAGTTTTGAGGTGAGGAATGTAATTTACCAAAAGTCAGCAAAAGGTGTGATGTAGCAAGGGGTGTAATACTGGGAATTAGAAGAGAATAGTTCTACTATTTTAATACCACCTCTGTGATCTACTAGCTTAATCTCTCTGGTTTTGTTTTCTGTAAAATGAAAGAAACATAAATTATATGATATTTCATAATTTAGTGATATAAACTGCTACCCAAAATTTAAAAAAAAAAAAAAAAGTGAGGAGCCAGACTGTGGTCAATTGTTTGTTGTTTATTCAGCAACCTTTGAAAGATTTGCTTCGCCAAGTAGGACAAGAAATTTAGTGAAAAAATTTAAGAGGAAGTTCAAGTGCTAATTCTGATCTAGAAAATTTGTAGAGAATTAGAATTATGGAAATTCATGCTCAGGAATGACAACAGATAAACAGATGTATGGAAGCAATTAAGACCTATGACATTACCCTATACAGCATAAACTATTTGCCTTGGCCAGCAGTGATATAAATTTAAAGGACTCACCAAGAATTTAAAAAAAAAATTTTTTTTAATTAATAGACCATCATTTACTGTTTGCTAGCAATTCCTCTCCAAACAGATATGCACACTCCTGGAAATACTTTTCCAAGGTTATGCAGAGGGTAAATATTTCCCAGATCAACTTTTCTAAGCACCCTTTCTTAACCCCACCCCCAACCTCAGAATGTCCCCTGCAGAGTCTGTTAGCTTTTCTCACCTCCCTTTTTCAAACATCCTTTTCCCCCACTTTATAAATTCTGGGCACACAACTTACCCATCACAAATCTCACTCTGGGACATATCTTGGAGTAGGGGTAGGGAAACCTCAGGGCTGGACACAAGGGGACAATTAGAAATACCAGTCAGTCCAAAGTGAATGGCCCTAACCCAATCACTCTTCTGCAATTCAGATAGGTTTTGCCAATTCTTTGCTTAGAGTAAAACCAAGGGAGGGCCTGAATGAATTGTCAGCTGATGAATCATTAAAGATAATTTAAATGATGGATCACTAGGGTTTTGAATGTAATCCAGGAGTCCAAATAAACAAGTGACACTGCTAACTTATACTTCCATTCTCTTCAACTTATGTAAACAAAATTCCACAGTGTATACATTTAAAAAGGATGAAAATATACTGAATAATAGTAATCAATTGATGATGAGCTAATTGGAAAAATAAAACATGCATTAATAAACAGATTTTGAATAAAACTGTTTTTATCTCTAATTTACTTACCAAAATTTGTGTCTTAAAGCGTATTATTTTGATCAACTATATACTAATCATTACTCAATGATCCCTTTCTTAAAAGTCAGAAGCTAGTATGGTGGCACATGTCTGTAATCCCAGTGACTTGAGAGAATGAGGCAGGAGGATCTTAATTCCAGGCTAGCATTGAACACTTACCAAGACTCCTCTCAAAAATAAAATAAAAATGGCCAGGAATGTAGTTCAATGGTAGAGCATTCCTAGGTTCAATTCCCAGTACCACATTTTATTAATCACTTAGAACCCCATGACCATAGAAAATTAAAGTTTTATCACAAAAGAATGATAAAGTGATTACTTTTTTAAACATAATACACAAGGATCAAATTTGCTGAGAAAAGTGTATTACAGTAAAATTTCAAGGAGAAAAAACACTAAGTTTTCAGATTGCTACAGAAGAATTTATAAATGCATAATGGAAGGTAGTATTTTAAAAATCATAGTTTTAGACTAAAATGAATATATTTAAGAATAATTTTTTTAAAAAATCTAACGTTTACAAAAACAATTATACCTTTAGCAAAGAATTTAAACATAATGAAAAAAACTTAAATGTCAATTAAGAATTATAGATGAGAAACAATGATTTCCAAATTCTTGAACTCCCAAACACATAGAATAAAGCTTTCAATTTCCAGAAGTAGCAAATAAAATTCCAGTAACATCAGAGGAGAGAAGAAAGTTTTTAAAATATACATTACCTCTACTGTTTATAATGCCCATATGGTAAGCTAGGCACATTATTCTCTTCCATGAATTATTATGTAGTTACCATTATTATGGTCTCACTTGATCATTATGTGATTACCTCTATACACCTCTACCATTATTTCTGGATTACTGACTGTCAATCTGAACCTGAAATATATTTAAGTGAATTGCCTGCAGTTACACTTCTAGATTCAAATCCAGACACACACACAATTCCAGAATGCCTGCTCTTGACTAAAAACATGATGCCTCCCAGGAACTGCAAAACAGAGTAGGAATGCTGCTGCCACTCCCTGCTGTAGTGTCTGCAGCTAACAGCTGCTTCAGTGGGGCAAGATCATATACTAGGAAACTTTGCTGAACGCTACATCGGGAGACTTGCATCCTAGTTTTGACTGTTTCTCTGCCTTCGTGAGCTTGAGTAAGTTATTTAACTTTCTAAGCCTCAATTTCCTCATCTATAAAAAGTAATAATGGTCCTATTACGGATCATTCCAAGCTAGATGCCAACTTGAGTTTCCTAAATAATCACTAATTTTTTAAGCTCTTACTATGTCTAGTCTTAATTCATTTAACTCTCCCAACATTCCTATGGCATAGTAGATACTCCGATTTTTATTAATGTTTTATCAATGAAGAAAGACTTTGTCCAAGAGAGGGAAAACAGTTTGCCTAAGGTTATGAAGCTAAGGGGGTGAAAGAGCTAGCACTTAGGCTAAATGGTGAGACTTCAAGGCTGATAGTCATTAGAACTAGTGATTGTCTGGAAATAATAACATTATCTTTATTCTCACCATCATCATCATCAACACCAACCTTTTCTATAGTTCACCTGAAGGGCCTTGGGTCTAGAAAGCACTCAGTAGTGAGACACAGAAAGAATCTGAGACTAAAAGGAATTGAAGGCTTCAGAGAAAAAGTCAAGGAGGCTGTTCCCCAGAAGAAAATAATGTGCAGCAGAATAAAGAGATAAACACAGGCCTGAAACTCAGAATATGAAAAAGTAATCAGCTAAGATACAGGGAACAAATATCAGAAACATCCCAACAAAGAAAAAGTATACTTATGAAATTTTATAAGGTGCCCAAAAGAATTTTTTAAAAGGAAAAAAAAATCAATGTGTGACAATTTGAGGTCTTGCCTTCTTGATAATTTCTCTCCAACTGAGGAAGCAGAGGATATGATCATTTTAATCAGCCATTCAGCCATCACTGATGATCTGATCCAGGCAAAATGAAAACCATTTGCCTCTGAAAGTATCAGAGCCCAGTAAAACATCCCTCTCAACTATCTTTTGCAAATCTCAAATCATGTACTCATGTAAAATTATTTCTGGGTTCCTTTGAACAACTGTGTTTGGGTTTTTAATCTACGTTATTTTCCTCTACAGCTGCTGCTGCTTCTTCTTTTAATCAGGGATTCAACCTAGGCGCACTTAACCACTGAGCTACACTCCCTGCCCTTTTTCTTTATTTTTAATTTTGAGGCAGGGTCTCACTAAGTTGTTGAGGCTGGCCTTGAACTTAGTATCCCCCTGCCTTGTGCCTCGGGTTACAGGTGTTTACCACCACAACCAGCCCTCTATAGCTTCTATCTAAATCTAAAGCTTCTTTTTTTTTTTTTTTCCCACTTAAAGGAATTGGGGGAAATCACATTTTGCCCATTTCTCTCCAGCAGAGGTAGACTGCATCCTACATGCTTCCAAATACTTTGCAGATACCACTGTTGGAGGCACTGGTGTATCTCATTTGTGACTATAGATCCGTTTTCTCCATTATCCTGTATCCATTCCACAAAAGTACTCCCAGGTTTTGTTCATCTTTACAACTCCAGTACACTGCATTACTATCATTAAATAGTAAAAGAAAGATAATATTTTCTGACTTCATCAAATTTTCTTTTGTCACTTAACTTACTCTAGAAGACAATCACCTCAGACAGTGATAATCTTAGATCAACAAAAATGATGAGAATTTAGTGGACTAGTGATTACTCCACTTACAATTGGTTGCGAAATAAAAAGGAAGGCCCCTGGGTCCATGTTTCAGAGTCCTCTTCAGTGATATTGGTTTTCAGACAAAAGATATGCTTCAGGGTCGTGAGCTCTTAAAATTTATTAACAAGCTTGGGGGCCTTTGGTTATTTATCCAGTAAAGTGGCTAGCACAAGGTTAGTATCCAACACTTTCATACTGGTTGATTAATTGACTGCTGCTATTAGAACTGTCATAGGCCAAAAGCAGACTCTCCATGAACTGCCCACAAAGGTGTTAAAAGATTGAGAAAAACACCAAGAAGAATCTAAGATCATACAATTAGCTTTTTAGAATTATATATACAATTACATATAGTCAGATACTATTTTTTAGTATTAGTATTTATTTTTTAGTTTTAGTTCAACACAATACCTTTATTTTATTTATTTACTTTTATGTGGCTCTGA